CTGCCCCCACCCGCACCCTGGGCCCTGGGTCCTCTAAGCTGACAGGTCCTCCAGGAGGAGGCAGGAAAAGGGAGGCACAGGGGAGGTAGCCCTGGAATGAGTACTATGTGGCTCTTCTAATCCAGGTGTTCCCCAGCTCAACTGCCTTAACAGGTTCTCCCGGCCCTTCCCCAGCCCCAGGCACTGGGCTTGTCAGAGTCCCAGTGAGAGCAAGAGGCTCCCGTGGGAAGAGAGTAAGTGCCCATCCCTCCACCATCTACACACCTGTCTCACCCAGGCCCTCTGCCCTGGGGGCAAACACAGCTAGGAGCAGCTAGGATGAGCCAAGATGGCTGGGACAGGAGCCATAGTCCCCTACCAAGACACCAAGATTGGCTGAGACCCCAGCCCCAGGCAACAAAGCAGAGGCAAGGACCTAGGCCCTCCACAATCCATCCGGCCAGGCGCCAGGAAAGGGAGTCCAGACTCTCAGGCCATGGCCGCTGCTGGGAAAGGACAATGTCCGGATTCATTGAGTCAGACATTCTGCAGACTCCCAGCCACACCCCGCTAGCCTAGCCTCCTTCAGACCCACCCCAAAATATGCAACAGGCCCCAAGGACCCTTCACCCGATTACCTAAAGAGGAGCCAGGCCGGGTCTGCCCCAGCTGGAGACAGAGCTGCCACCAGCCAGCCAGCCAGAGGCCACACAGTCACCTCCTCACTCCGGGACAAAAGACACTCATATTCCCAGTGTATATAGCTCTCTGAATAACAGGATATGAAGGGACAGGTGGATCTAGTCTGAGTCGCCGCCCATGCCCAGTGCCCCCCCAAGTGAACCCGGGCAATGAGCTTCCACTCACGCCCCCAAGCCCAGGAAGGAGCTGCAGCCACCCTGCCCATCAGATCCCGGTGAGGGAAGGGCCTGGGCATCCACAGTTCAAGTCCCTGCCCCTCCCACCTGCTCTCGAAGGCCGTCTTCCTCTGTGCCCACTGCCTTGCCCTCACTGCCTACTTAAAGCCTACTGGAACTGCCCCTCCCACGGGAAGCCTGCCCTGCCCCCTGCCCTCCATGCCCTCCTCCCCTGGCTCACATAGACTCTCAGTTGGCATTGGCCTGGGCCCACTAACTGGTATGGCTGCAGCCTTTTCCTGGGTCTTATAATCTCCCCAGACACCAGACATTCCTGGAAGCAAGGAGTGTGTTTCTGACGCACACAGCCATTGTGTATTCTGAACCACACAGAAGGACGAGGCTTTGGGGCCATTTTTTTTAAATCCTGGATAGACAATATATATTATTGATCCCTTAGAGTGAGAGGAAGGGCAAGGAAAAGAGAGAAACATTGATGTGAGAGCCAGACATCTATCCGCTGCCTCACATCTTACCCTCCACCCCTCCCCGCCCCCCCAAGGAGGGATCAAGCCTGAAAGACCGGGCGTGTGCCCTGACCCGAAATCGAACCAGCAACCTTTCCGTGCATGAAACTACGCTCAACCAACTGAGCCACACCAGCCAGGGCTTAAAGCTTTTTTAATCTCTGCATCTCCTCTAGCCTGTATTGCTCAGCCCAGTGCTTTGTTCCAGGAAGATGTTCCATAAATGCCCTGCTTCCTTCCAGCCCCGAAACCAGGTGTCCAAAGGCCCCTGACTGCTCTTCTAATGTCTGTTGGTTTCTGTTGTTGTTTGCAAAGCTTTTTGGGGAGGTAGAATGAGACTGGACCAGGATGTGGGAAGGAAGGAAAGTTGAGAGAAAGAGAGGTCAGGCTGGGGCATCTCTGAGCAGGAATCCTTCTCTTATCTGCCCTGGTCTGTGACCGAAAGGATGAAGTATGGAAGCGGCACGGCAGGAATCCCGTTTCAGCCAGGATCGTGCCACGTGTACTCCCATCCAAGCTTTGCGAGTGGCAAGAGGGTTCAGAGAGTGCCCCACCCGTAACCATCCCAGACCTTGTTCCCTGAGTAAGGAATTTTGTGGAAAATAAGAAGAGGAAATGGAAAGAAATCCAGTTTAGGGGGTAGCATGTCTTGCCCCTTCCCCCAAAGCCTGCCCATCCCTCCCACCACCTGTCTTCTTGGAGTCTTGTTTCTCTGACCAGAGGAACCTCCTGGCCTTCGTTGATACCACACCCCAGTCCCTACTGAGTCTCTGGCAGCCAAGTAGGCAGGACCCAGGTGAGCACCTGGTTGACAAGCAGCCACCTGCTGTCAGGTGTGCGATCACCCCAGAGAGCTTTAGCAGCTCCGGGTTTCAGTCCCCAGACCTCCCAATAATCTGCCCATCACTCATCCACACCTTCTCCTTCTTTTAAATCAAATGGACATCTCTGGAGATACATCTGGATAAGTGCCTTTCTGAAGGAAGAATGCCAGAGTGGGATAGTCAGGCGTCTCCACCCTCTTCCGCCCTTCCTCCTCCCCTAGGGGCTGGGAGACAGGCTCTGCCACTACACCCATGTCATAGCCACCTGCTCCTCCCTGCCTGCCCCATCCCCCCACCAAGGAGGCAGCATGGTCCCAGGCACAGGATGGGGGTCGTGAGGGCAGGCCACATGTTGTTCCGTCAGAAGGTAGGTCCTGTATTGACTTTGCTACAGGTAGATCCTGGCCTAAGCATTCGGGGGAGGTAGACATGTCCATTAGAACCTTCCCCAAAAGTGGGAATGGGGAGGCCACTGGTTCTCCAAAGGACCCCTCACCTGGGACCCTCAACCTTCCCCCAATGTTCTCATTGTCTTTTCCTTGAGGGATTCATTATTGAGCAACCAAGAAGCCCCTATCCCCACCCCCACTCACCTCAGCCCAGCTTGAAGACTTCTCCAAAAGCGCAAATGGCCCAGACACCATACCCTGGGACTCAGCCACTCCAGCCCCACCCTTCCACCCACAGGTTCTGGGCCCCACCCCTCCAGGTGCCTCCTAACCATCCCCCATCTCTTCAACTCTCCAATCCCCTTCAATCTGGAGCCCTGAACATCCACCATACTCTTCAAAATTCACCTCCCCCTCCCCGCTTCTGCACACACTTCTTGAGTCTTAAATTGTTTCCAAATGTCCCTGTGTTAAGAGTAAGCAGAGAGAGAGATAGGAGCTGGGAGAGGCCGGGAGAGGCGGCTGGGGCCTGGAGAAAGCAAGTGTGAGACACGACAACCTGAAAATAGACAATGGCGATACCATTGTGAGCGGGAAAGATTCAGAGCCCTCCAAGACAGGGTCTAACTCTAAGCGACGGCATAGCTCCTAGATGAAGGAGCCTCGTAGCTTACAGATACTTTTTTTTTGAGACACGAGGGAGGGAATGACTTGCTCCTTGCCTAGGGTCATGCCAGCCTAGAGGTATAAATCCTCTAAACTCCCCAGTACTGGTATTTGGTCTCAGCCAGCTGAGCTGCCCACTGAGGGCACTTGGTTTGGTTTCATCCAGCTGAGTTGCCCATTCAGGTCCTACCTGAATGTATTTCTTTCCTACAAATAAATCCTTGCCTGCTTTTGCTGCCATAAAGTTGTCTCTTGTTTGAATCCATTCCTACAAGCAAGGTAAGAACTGAGGGCACAGAGTACTCATCTCTGGCCAGAGGCGCCCTTGACCACCGCTGACACCTGGACTCCTGTCTCTCCTAGTCACCATCCTCTCTAGAGCCTAGCCCACTCTCAAGCCTAAATTTGGCATGCTCTGTGTCCCTTCCCTCTACCTCAAATGTGCTCACTCTTCCATTCACCGTTCATTTGCTTGTTCATTCATTGGCTCATTTATTCATTTATTGACTCATTCATTCATGCATTTCCTTGATTCCCGTCAATATGCAGGGAAGGTGTAATCTGAAGTAGGCTGGTGATGCTTGACTCGATTGCAAGGCTCTTTCTAACTAATCTCTTCAGCCTCCATGGCCCCACTCTCTGCTCTGCCTTCTCCTGGTCTTTTCCCAATTCCAGAGGCTACTCTCTCACACAAGCGCCCCTGCCTCGCCCTTCCCCACCCTCACAGGACTCACTGCATCTAATTCGCACACGTGGATACACAGCGTGAGGCACTCTGCCATTCTTGCCCCCCTCTACTTGGGTAACCTATCTGCCTTCCGCCCACTTGTGATTTTAGAGAATGTAGCTGGAAGGAGAAGCCTGCTCCTCTAAATTCTTTTCTGGACAAGTAAGCTGGAGGAGTTTGGTGTGGACACACACACACACACACACACACTCACACACACTCCGCTGCTCCTCGTCTCACCAATTCCCAGAGGGCTCTTTACTCTTGGATAGGGAAAGGCTGCGCCCGTTCATCGGCACCTCCAGTGCTCCCTCCCCCAGAACCCCTGCCCTCACCCCCACCCGGACAGGGCTGGGCAGGGGAATGCTCCCACAGCGCAGGTGGCTCCACCAAACAAAGCCAGTCAAGCCAGAACCTGCCTCGGTCCTGAGGTGGAGAAGCTGCCCAGACTCCTGGCCCCTATCCCGAGCTCCCCGGCGCCCCCGGGATCTCACCCAGGTTCCTCAGGTCCCTCTACCCTCCCTGGGAACGGCTCTGAGAGCACAATGGGGCCTGCGTCCGGGGACTTTCCTGAGTCCCAAGGTGGAGAGAAACCACCTCTCTCCCCCACTCAGGCTCCCAGGCTCCCTGGGCCCTCCCTGGACCCCATTACCTCTCCCAGGACACTGCTCCCAGAGGCCAGGGAGGCCTGTAGCGAGGGTCCGACCTTCCCCAATCCCCAGCTGCACGAATTTGCCCTGTTTCTGTTAGGAATGGATCGGAGCAGCTGCGGGCAAAGCTCCCAAATACCCTTCCTTCCCGGTGGCCCCGCTGGAGAGGAGCCTCAGCAGCTCCTGGCTGGGGAGGGGGTCTCACCACCCCACCCGCTCCTCTGCCGGCCACTCCAGTCCCTAATCTTACCAGATTCTCCATTTGCAAACCAGCCTTTTGGGAAAGTGAATTAACGAAACCTCCCGGCCCAGTCTCTGGCAGGGCCCTCCCTCCTCAGGCCCCTTTACAGCCCCTTCTCCGGGCCTCAAACGCCGCCGTGGGGCCTCTCTGGCAGCACCGGACCGCCCAGGACGGGCCTGGGGTGCTCACCTGCCTCCTCAGTTCAACTCCTCTCCAGCAAGGCTCTGGGGCCTGGGCTCTGGCACGCCAAGCAGCAACCCTCACACAGCCCAGCCAGGACTCCTCCCCGCCGCACTCCCCAACGGGTCCCACTCCCTCCTTCCCTGCCTGGCTGAGCTGGCTCAGTGGGGAGGTAGTGACTGAGCTCCCTCTTGTCTTGGCCCTGGGGTTGGGCCCTCGTTAAAGGGATACACACCTTTTTTAACACCCCTCCACCCCACTCCAGAAGGAGCGGTGGAAGCTGGCATTCTGTCAACCCCACCCTCCTAGCCCCGCAGGGCCAGACAGAGCCTACCAGGTGGAGAGAGGAAGCGAAGGACTGTCACCTGCCCTTCTCACCTCGGTCACTGGAGCTCTGGGTCAGGGGCTCCAGACAGACGTGTGCGGGTTGCACTCCAGGCCAGCTTGGCTGGCCTCAGAAACGGCCTTGCCCTTGGCATCTCAGGGTAGCGCCCACCTTGTGTGCACAAGTCAGAAGGCAGGCACCAGGGACCGCCCCCGGCCCCCTGAGCTACCACCTCCAGGCCAGCCCACCAGGAGCTCTCCTGCCCCCCATCCCTGGGACTGCGTTTGTGCAGCAGATGATTCCTCTGGAAACACCCTCTAGCCCTTCCCAAGGAACCTGGCCAGTTCCACATCCCCGTGAGGAGGCAGCAGCTGAAAAGAGCGGGGACCCATTCACCAACTCTGGCAGTTCACCGGGCACTCACTGTGCCAGGCTCTCTGATAAGTGCTTTACACGAGGCCTCACATTATCCTAACAATCCTCTGAGGGAAGCACTGTTAATATCCCCATTTTACAGATGAGGAAACTGACCCCGAGACTCACACGGAGGCCACCAGCCCCACATCTGCCTTGCTCCTCACCCAGGCTCCATCCGGCACACCTGGGTTCATGTCCTCTCCTGTCTGAGTGCCAGGCCCTGGCAAAGAGGAGCTCGGCCCTCACAGGGGACCGGGTCTCCCACCTTTGGGGCCTGGCACCGTCCTCAACCCAAATCCCTGGGATAAAGTGGGTCCCTATTCACTTCTACTGACAACCACTGCAGCCACCCCGGGAACATGCTACCCGATGACTCTGCCATTCACCCCAACCACCCAGCACCCATGGGCCCATGAACCTGGGAAGAAGGTATGCAGACACAAGACATCTTTCACTTTTTCCATTTTATTTTTATTAATCAAGATATACAAAACAGCCATCATTCTTTAAATGCCCAACCACCCAGCTGGTTCTCGCTCCCCAAGGTCACACCCTTCTTAGCCTGCTCCCCCTCCCCACTGCTCTCCCACTTCCCCTGCCCTGTCCAAGGACAGTCTTGAGGGGAGGCTGGGGCAGAGCTGGAGGCAGGAAGATAAAACATTGGACAGACAGCTCGTTTGGGTTGGGGAAGAGAGTAGGAGGGGTAGGTTCTTAGAGACCTTTTTTAATTCCAAATATCCAGCCCTATTCCCAGTCCCTTTCAAATCATTTCCCAAAGTCCAGCTCCTCTCTGCCCAGCACCCACTACCAAATGGCGTGGCCCTTAACCATCCTGACCCTCCACACCATCCCTGGCCCCAGCCCGCCCCCTGAGCCTCCCTCTGGTGGGGATTCCTGGGCCCATTCGCTCCACAGAGCGAGGGATGAAGTGCAGAGACCCCAGGAGGGGCCGCTTGCAGAGGTGAGGCAGGCATGGGCTGGGGAACAGTGCGGTGACGGTAAAGAGAGGAGTTTTATTTCCAGGCCCACAGTCTCTAAGGTCCCCTTTCCCCAGCATCCCCCCAAGATTCCCAGGGGAAGGTTCTCAGCTCCCCCGGACAGGCTTTTCCAGCTTCACGCTCTTAGCTGCTTCTCCAATCAGCTCCCAGAAACTTCCAAACTCCAGTTTAGAGTTGTTACAGCTGCCCAGGTTGGCGATTCTATCTTCCAGCCCACAGTTGTTCTGAGGAGAGGAAAGACCACAGCTCAGCAAGCAAGCACCTTCCAATCGGCCCACCCCACCCTGCCCAGGGGCCGAAGCAAGACTTGAGCCTCCCCAGCACTGGCTCGGGGCTGCTAGTGCCAGGGGCTGTGGCTGGGTGGTGGGGCCTTGGAGCATTTGCTTGGGAAGTCAGTGTCCTGCCTGGTGTGGGGTCACCCCCTCAGTACCGGCATAAGGTGAGGTAGCTGCTGGGTCACTAGGTTCTGTAGCTCGGAGGGTGTCAGCGTCTCCTTCCCACCCTCCACCGAGTACTGGTGGAAGTTCTTGATGAGGGTCTCAATGGCCCTCTCCACGTCACTGAATTCCTGGGCATCCTGCGGGTAAGGGACATCACCCACATCAGGGAGGCTCCACCCCGCCCTATGACACCCTGCTTTCCCCGGGAACCTAGCCAGGCCAACAGGGCAGAAGACTCTGGAAGGCACACAGGCTCCCGCCCACTCCAGAGCCCAACTCCAGCCCTCCTCACCCCCACTGGCCTCTGCCCTGAGCCACAGGTTGGACAAGGCTTCCTCCCCCCACCCACAGCCCCC